GGGAACTAGTATGAAAAGTTTCTGGACGACAGAAAGCAGGCAGATTGGGCAATGAAAGGATAAGAGGATAAAGTTCTCGGCGTTAATCAAGCCCTGAGAGATGCGCCATGCATTAGAATTCATTAAGTATCGTAGGAGGTGACTGAGTGCATGCATGGCCTTTACAATGACTCGCGGTGGCCCACCGATGTATCGAGCCAGTGCTGCTATCCTCCCAGACAAGCCTAGTACCAATTTGCCGACCCGGAGGGATGGAAGGCTTGGTGGCCCATGGGCGCAGGGATCGATTCCACGTGTTTCTCGCAGTGGCGCCTCCAACCACTGCGCCACACGCGCCCTTGGTTGAATCGCAGTCTTCGCCCATTTATTACTCTAACCGACTGCTCCCCACCCACTAGAATACTTGCAAAGATGCAACAAATAAACGGTAGGTGTTTAAATGAAGCTGTTGTTTATGCGAATACAAATTTATTTGTTACGTTTTATCTGCTGGGGTTATGACAGTGTATGGCTGAGTAGATCTGATCTCAATTTGACCTTTCCAGGCTCTGAAGAAGGCGAAACTGCCGAAACGTCAGTTATTGTATTCTAATAAATTCTATAATAACAACCTCGTGTCTGCTTGTTGAAGAAAAACATCAAACAAATATTTGAATCGTAGCGATTAATGCAACGTTTTATTGGCCAGCTAACACGATGTTGCTGTGAAAATTTTTATTTGGTTAACATTTCGCCGCTTTCTCCTTTGTTAGAGCCTCGTTGAGTCCAGTCGGTGGTCCAAAGTCGTTCGTTTTCTTGTTGTGGGACTTCGTAGTCACATTGAGTCCGGCATGGAATGCTGAACGAGTACTCAGTCAGGAATAAAGCACAAAACAGCACTGCTGAGTGAACTTGCTCTACTCAAGCGATCCTCCACTTCAATGGGTTCGATTCCACGCCACAAGCCTATTATCGCGAAAACAATCAGTTGTGGATAATTCAGTTGGATTAGCGAGGATTTGAAGAAGAATAAGGCGTAGGAGCACTAACTGCATAGTATATTTTAAGCCAACCTTTTGTTAGCCTAACAGTGAAACGATGCATTGATTGGCACACCATCCAGAAGTGAATGGAAGTCGCTTTACAGAACAATAACATCTAATTTGTTAGTTTCGCTGCGTGTTATTGAAAAGTTTGAAAAATTAATCCTTCAGATTTTTTATATGAAAAAATTCTCTGAAAACAACCCGCTAAAGGGATATATCATTATGGAGTATTTGGATAATCTGAAAACGGTGCACATCTATGAAAACATCACAGCGGGATCTATGAAGCAGGTGAGTGTAATGCGTCCGCTATTGTTCTTCAGTACAACGCAGATATTCAGATTCTACGAGCGATAGCCGTGCTCGAAGCGATGTCCCTTGACTTCTCCCCGCAAGGAAAGAATGACTTCATTGACAAACCTTTCACTGGAATTTATGGAGTCGCTTACAATAATGAGGTTGTAGTCATTACATCTAATCGGCATTCCAGTTGCTTTTTTATGAGATACCTCGGTGTTTTCTATAAGCAATGAAGTTCTGTGCAGACATTTGGAAACTTGATGAAGGTTTTGCGTACGCTTAAAGGAGATAATCTGTCAAATAAACTTCACCTACTGGAGAAGGCTCTACCATACTTGGTGGATCTTGAATGGGCAGATAGATTACCCGAAGAAATGGGTAAGTAAGACACAAATGTCGCAGTTTGATTCGATTCCAATAAAGATACGTTATTTAGCAAATATCATTTTGTCAAAGCAAAACTAAATTGAGGTGTACGAAAGCAGAAAAAACATTGTTTTATTCGAATTGCTAGAAAAGAATTACCACAGATGCTTCAGGTATGAGACCTGTTCTCTGTCACGGCGATTTGTGGTCAATGAACATTCTCTGGAGGACAACAAATAGAGATAATTTGAAAATAGCCGCTCTTATCGACTTTCAGGTGTTATCTTGACGTATTTGATAACTTTCACAAACAGAACTCAATAAGACATTACTAAGAGAGGTAACTAAAACGCAATTCTTAGAACATTTCGCGGTGAAAATAGTATGTCTATGCCAGCTCTCACCTGTCGTCCCGTTCATCCCCGAGTGACTAGAGCGAGCTCCACTAAATCCTCAGTTTCTCCCTGTCGAGTGCAAGAGAAGTCCAGCTGATTTCGGAGTATTGCTAGTTTAGCCACAGTATTTCTCTGGTGTCCCGAGGTCCGGCTGGCCAAAGTCTGCCCTAGGTCATCATCACCACAGGCAGTCGCATCCCTTGCGGATTAGAGAAAGATTTGCCACCATGCGACTAGTTTGATACCAGGGCGGTAGTGGAACCTGGTATTGATTTACTTTTAGCTGTGCTTCTTCATGGAAATGCCGAACTCCTTCTCAGCTTAGGAGACCCTGCCAGGGGGATGAGCTTCCTGCTGTAGATCACAGCACGATACCCAGAAGCACCTCGTTGCCACGATGAGGCGGCAAACTGTTGGTAGGATATATATATATATATATATAACGTAATAGAATATGCACGTATATTTCATAGTACTAATTTAAGCCGATAATTATCGACAACCAGGTTTCTTCCTCACCGAGGAATCCACAGCGACTCAACAACGATGCCACGTGATGCTTCTCCAGGTGGTAAATTGAGGAATAATCGCGAACCAAAACCAACGTTTTTTTTCTCTGAGACACAATTTGATCGCGGGATGTACTTTCCATTATTAAAACGCTGACTGTATACACACGACTTGTGCCAACGATGGACTTGCTTATATGTGCGCGCTGGGGTGTGTCTTTACAATGATTGTGCCCTAAAAGTGATTTTGACTAAAACGCCACAACCAACTGACTAGAAGATACATGGTATATGGTAAGGAGTGGCTTCCAACATTGTAGCTCAACGTCCTTTATGGGTAAAGCTAGCTAACTACCCGCTAATATACCCAGCCCTACTGAAAGCTGGGTGAGCAACACGTGGGCATTAAAAGCCAAGCAAAGTAGAAGAATGGGTTTTATTTCCTTGACTACAAAAGATAATCCAATAAAGTAGTGTTTGGGGCGACAAAATGATTCCTCGTAACATGCGATAACAGACGAGTCGATGGCATTCGCATTGTTGTCAACAAGGGTTTGGCCATCTATTGATTCCTTTGAACAATTAACAACCCGAATCGGACATCTACTGAAGATTTTTTGTTTTTTAAATTTATTTTATACGAGCCGTCTTCACATCTATTGTGGAATTCCTTGCAGTTCCCATATTCGATTCATTTCCTCATATCCAACATCCACTAAGGTCTTGCAACTTTTTACGTGTGGTTTCTGCTGCTATTTGAGGATTTTCTTTCACCTTCAATGTGCTTGAATGCTAGTCGAGTCGATTGTCACTGTAGTCCTAATATTGCCAGGTTAGATCTCTCTATTCTCTATTGGTTTGTAGAGAGTGATCCTTTCCTGGACAACTCCGGAATTTTCTGACCCCGGAAGAATGACGGGCCTTGTGAACCCAGTGCGGGATCGAACCAGCACCGTGGTCCTGATTGCCGGAGTCCCTTCCACTGTGCTATCCAACCCTACAAGTGAAGATGCTTCTATCAATACCTGCTTTGAGAAAGTTTTAGAGTGTACATAAAGCCACGACGTTGATGAAGTTTAAGCACTTTGCTTAGATTTGCAGAAGTTTTAAAGGTAAGACCACACTTTTTAAAAAGCATTGGAAATTCTAACGCTGATGAGGACAAGTGGAAGGTTTTGTGATTTTGATCCGTGGACTGAAATAGAACGAACAAGTTGAACGCTTTCTGATTTTACCATGGCAACGAAAACCGACAACGCACGGTTCAAAAAGACAAACAAAAAGATGACAGGATGTTTAAGTGAAGAGTAACATAAAGGAGGATCATAACAAATTAAAGGTTTTGCATAATTGCTGTTGCTGTTGGACCAAGATTTGCACAGGATCGCACCATCTCGTTGCTCAAGAAAGATTCCAATTTTTCGCGCAAAGAAGAGAAACCTGATGAGTTTGAAAAGCCCAAAGTCCAGCACCACAATAAAATAGGATTTATTCGGTCTATTAGTCGGCTGTTGTGTATATCGTTATTGATAACATCGGCGAGGAATACGACTAGCTTATTTGACGCCTTCACATTAACGCTGGGAAAGCTGAGAGGTCGAAAGTCAGCAAGGGACGTTTTTCTCCAGAAACACTCGAACTGAGATGCCAGCATGGAATCGCTTAAAAAATCTCCAGTTCAATTCTAATCTGAAAAGGGAAAAAAAGATGATCTAAGAAACAAAATCGCAAAAGTGATTCCTGTAACTGCAAAGCGTGGAGCAGCTTTCAGACTGCCTCTGGAAAGTTCTCCAATTGCAGGACTAAGATGATTGCACTTTAGCGTCTAAAATAGGCTAATGAATTCCAAAAATGCAATGACGAAGAAAATCATCCACGGTAGCTAGTGTGAACTCTTCAACAACTTCGTCCTACCAGCCTTGCACGAAATTGGGATGGGTGAATATGTCTTGTTACTGGCTCTCTCTTTTTAAATTCAACATGGCATTTTTCGGTGAAGAACCGCACAACACCTAGTCCAGAGCGAGTAAGGACCTGAACTCTTGAAGAACACCACACTCATCAACACAATTGCTCTGACTTTTTCACATGCTACCTGTCAGATCATCTATAAACTGTTCATAGGAGTGATCCTCGACAGGATTAACGGAGTACTTGACGATGGGCATCACTGTGAGAGACCAAGTTTCTGAAAAAAATTGGAACAAGGGACCACAGCCAAATTAGTTCGTCCACATTGACTTACGAATTTTTATGAGCTATGTATGAAATTCACGGCAAAATAACACCATGCCAAAACAATACTAACCACTAAATAAAGAGAGAATTTCGACACATTCTACCAACCTTGTATAGAGCTTTTCTCGAAAAGATCCTGTGAAGAATGGAAGAGAACAACACGGAAGTGCAAGTAAATGGTCGGTAATAACTCCATCCTCGCCTTGCTGATGACATTGTTTTTATGACACCAAAGATGAATCAGGCGGAGCGAATGCTTACCGACTGATATTACCTGTAGGAAGATGTCTTCGATATCACAAAAGGAAGTTCATCGAGAATGGAATTGTTTTGCATGTCCCATTCATGCTCAACGACGTAGCATCGGAACCTAGCAGAAAGAAGCGATAGGCTTGGAGAGCTTTCAGCAGCAACAAGGGTGTATTGAAGAGAACAAGGAACACCGGATGGGCTTCGTGCCCACCTTTTCGACTCCGCGAGTATTGCCTCAACGTGTGCGTCAGACACCTGGCAGCCACGTAAGTGGATGAAGGGTCACTCAACCTAATTGAGCGAACAGTCGAAAGAACGGCGCTAGGAGTTATAATCAGAATTTTTACTCATTATTTACTGCCTGCTTTTTTTAACGGCAAGGTATACATTGTTAAATATAACTTCAATGATGCAGAGATAATCACAATCTTAACCCTTTTATTTACTGCCTTTTTCTTCTTAATGGCATGGTATGTTGCGAAATATAACTCGTATGAAATGCTGAGATATTTGCAAAACTGTGGCCCGCAGGTGTATGCGGTGGGGAGCGAACGCGCTATTGTCTCTTCCGGTAAATAATAAGTTAAAATTGCGATTATAACTGCGGCCTCAGCTTAACTGGGTTCGTTGCCGATTTGGCCCCCCCAGATCAATTTCCTTGACGGGTTATTGTTCATGGCAAAAGATCGATAGAACTAGCTGAGAGATAGGCGAAACGAAGGTCTCTCGTGGTGTGGTGGTGAACGCTCTACTCCCCGGAAGGGACAATAGCGCGTTCGTTCCCCACCGCATACACCTGCGGTCCGGAGTTTTGCAAATATCTCAGCATCATTGAAGGTGGTAGGAGTATTTGGTAACACACAGTTGAAAGACAGATGCGATGTTCAAAACTACATCGACGAGCGTAAAGCAGAGATACTGTTCTCCACGTCAAGATATAGGGATCATAAAGCCCGAAAGAGCCATTAGCGACTGGATTTTCTGCGATGTGAAACTAGCAGTAGAACAGCCACCTATCCTAGAGTCAGAATTTTTTAGGAAAGCTTTAGAGGAAAGATATAATGCTCAAGGAATAACTAGACCGAATAGGAACCATTTGGCAACTGTTTCACGCGATAGGAACAAATAGAAGATTTTATTGCGCTTGGTCTAACCACTCAGCGGTCATCTGAACTACAGATGACAGGTGAGAGGAGATTTATCTTTTTTTATTGGTGACAACTATGACATTTTAAAACCTTTCTTTGAATGCGTTAGTGACAAGCTTCGCCCAATATGATCGTTCACTCTTCTTCACCAAGCCATTGTTCAGACTGCTCATTTTGGATGTCCCGCATTTGATCTCGTCCGTGTGATGTGTGCATGTCTTAGCGGAAAAGACCGCCAAGAACAATGGGAAGAATTGTTGGACGAGTTTTATGGATACTTGAAAGAGGAATGTGGTAACAGAGACATGCCCTACACGTTGAAGCAGGTCAGTTGGAACATTGCTCGAATGTGCAATAGAAGTCCAACTTTGTTTCCATTGCAGGCTCAAATCAGTCTACCGAAAAGAAATCACCTAAAAAATTTTATTTCGCGTTTGAAATATGCCTTAAGAGAGATATTTTTAGCTCAAAGAATCGTATCGCCGATTTTTCCCTCTTGGCGGTTTGATGATAATGCCTATGATTGGGCCTCTATTCGACATAATTTGTAAGAGTGGCGATAAAGAACAAAATCAGAAGGTGATTTTAAAGGTAATACATCCAGGTCAGAGAACGAACAATTAGGTCTACAACGTCGTTTCAGCGTTTTGAAGTTGTGATGGAGAAGACTGTGTGCCTACTGGATGACATACTTTACTTCCATAACCGCAACATGGAACAAAAAAGAAGAGAAATAACCGATTAAACTATGAAAAAACGAAACAATTAATTGAGCACTTATCGTTTGAGAAATAAAATAATTCGAGTTTTTATAATATAGAAAGGTACCTCTGATGTTGGATAGATTTTCCTTTTTAGGCCTAATATTGTTTTGTTACTTCCCCATTAAATCGGAACTTCCCAGTTCGACAAGTGACGTGTGAAGAAGAGCTAAGTTCTTTGAATGTTTTGGATCTAGGGCTTACTCGCGCGCGCACACTTTATGGCGCTTCTCCAAGGAGATAAAATGTTGGACGTCAAAAAAGAGAACAGCATTCTCCACTTATCCATCGCTCTTGTCATGACATGGATACACGTCGACGCTTTTTGCATCGTTAACTATGTTCCCACTCATTTTTACTTGGAATATTTTTTTACGCTTCGACAAAAAACGTCGCAGGGGCGACCGCATCGACTTTTAAATTGCCATCATTTTCAATGCTGATATTCAACTGACATAGATCTCCTTCACTGATTTACCCTCATCCTGCTAGATGTGAGGTCCGTTGGAGCGCAGACGGGCAAGCTATGCGTGAATATATCTAATTCTAGTTTCAGAGCTCAGCAAGCGAATTAGAGAAAGGCAAGCACAATGAAAGAAATAGACCTCACTCTCCTCATTCCTAAAGAGGCTTCGGATACGACAGCGTTGGGTAGGACGAGCACAGAGAGGCTGCAAAAATCCTAGGGTCATTTCAGGCAGCATAAAACGAAGTAAGGTGACGATCTGTGTTTACCATTCACGGTTACTTGCGCTTGAGACCTCCATTGAAGACTTGATAATTCTGCAAAACTGATCCTTGGAATATGCGGCAGATATGATATGCCACCGAACTTCCACAGTGCACGCAGTGCTCGGCCAAAAGCCTCACCTTTTGAACAACTGAGAACATAAGTCGAACGATTACGATTGACACGATGTAAGCCAAAACCAGCTTTAAGAACCATCTCGCCTACGCACCGCCTTCAATATGTGGCGAAGATGGTGTCGAAGTTTAATGTTTCGAGCTGAACAAGTTTACATAATCGATTATACATTCTTGAAAGCCACCACTGAGTTACATTATGGACTATGAATTGGAATGGAACTAACATGGTAGTCGGCTGCTCGATTGCATTATGACAACCAAAACCGTCAATGTTAGCTCACAAATCCAGAAGCCTCGCTCTTAAGGTTGGATGCTGGACCCTATCAAACGAGAGTACTATAATAAAATAAAAAAGGATAAACCTCTCGGGGTTGATCAATCTCTGAGAGATGTGCCATGCACTCCACTTCATCAAATATCGTTGGAGGTGATTGAATGCACATCTGGCCTTTACGATGACTCGCGGTGGCCTATCGAGCCAGTGCTGCTATCTTTCCAAATAAGTCTGGTAGCAACTTGTTGAGTCCGGAGGGATGGAAGGCTTAGTGGACTGTGGGTGCAGGCATCGATTCCACACGTATGTCGCAGTGGCGCCTCCAACCACTGCGCCATGTTTTTAGAGAGGTGCGAAAGTCCTAAATTAAAAAAGAAGAATTTCTAAATTACCATAAACGGGGGTTAAATCTGGTCATTAGCAAGCTTATGGGATATCCCTGTTATCAACTGCATTGGTTAAGGATATGACAGGCCTACTCAATACCTTCGCTTCAGTGTTACAGAAGTCGATAACTTGAAGGTTACCAAGAAAAGTTAGTTAAGGAATGTGTAGAAATTAGAAAGAACATACCAAGGGCGAGTAAGCGCTACAAGCACCTCATTGCCAGAGCAAGATCACAAATAACAACATCAAGACGACCGCACTTCGGCGAACAGAAGGAACTGTAATGTTTCCAGAAACGTAATGTAGAAAATCATTTAAAAACACTATTTCATCCTTTTTAAAAGGCATATTCTCCTGCATCCATTTGGTTCAGAAAGGATAAAACGGTCAACAGAAGAGCTTTACGCCATCCCCATCAACGTCGCCACATCTCAGGTCGTCATATCCTATTTGTCAAAATACAAGATTCTTAACCCATGAAAAGCAGCAAGACGAACTCATTGCGCACAAAAAACGAGTACTTCAAGACGTCGGTAACCACCGACTAATTATGCTATTGGTGGTCGTCTATAAACCCCTCACTCCAGTCGCACTAAACAAAATCTATAGAGTACTAAACGAAGAACGGTAATGAAAACAGCCAGTGTTTCGAAAATAATTCAGCACGGTATACCACGGTCACTTGATAGCAAGACACACTGTACGATCACGAGAGTGCAAGAGGCCGTTCTTTCTCACTTTCATCGACTTAAAAAAGGCTTTCGATACAGTTAATATAAAGCGGTGACAGAGACATCAAGGATACAGAGCGCTCCTACTCAACACATAAGATCGTTCGCAAGATATATGCGAAGTTCGAAGTGACAACACCGATCCAATTTCGCTTAAATTTCCTACATCCACTTTCGATAACGTCATGTGAGAACTAGGAAGTATAGTAAGAGAGTGAAAGTCAGTAGTCGATAATTACACCATCTTCGCTTTGGCGATGGTATCGTTTTTAAAGAACAAAGCATTAATCAGCAGAACAAATGTCTGCCAACGTTGATAATGGTTGTGGAAAGATTCGTCTTCAACTAAATCTCAAAAACGTAATGTTTATGAGTAACGGATCTGTTGCTGATGGCTCATTCACGCTCAAGAGAATGAGTACCTCTGAATGATCCAGCTTTCCGTATATGGGCGAGAACTTAATATGACGAACGAAATGATTCCAGTGTTCAACAGCCGGAAGCGAGCGGATTGAGGAGCTCTCAAGAGCATGGAGGATGTAGTGAAAAGATCAAAGAGAACTCGATCCGAGGTTACATTTTCCAGCAAACGATTCCTCCTAGCTTAACATACACGTTTGAACTATGGTCGCTACTAAAAGATGTGAAAGGTCACTCAGCGATGTCAAACGTCTGGTCTAGGTAGCCAAGCTGGAAGCATCACGTACAATGCATCTGAAAGGTAGAGTCTGAAGGTCCTACCGACATCAACGAGCAAAGATCAGAGTCGCCAAAGCGCACCCCAAAATGTCGGTAACCGGTAAGAAAAACTAATCAGTAACTTAATCCTGCGAGATGCCAAACACAGAGCAAATAGACTCTATCCAGCCAAGCTTGCGGATTTTCATGACCGGTCAGAAGGTTTTGAACCACTTATTTTCTTCACTGGTTGTCCATCTCCTCTTCAGATGGTTCGGGAAATATTATGCGCAAATTAGAGGGACGGCAATAGGCAGCGACTGGCACCAACCCTTGCCGTTGCCTTTATGTCTAAAGCGGGAGCACCAGTAATCGATCCCAGGCCATTAATCTACCGTAGGTATAGATATGATTGTTCTGTCATCTGCTGCACACAAGAGGAGATGGACAAATGCTCTGAGTAATTGGGCCAACAGACAGAGTACATAAAATTCACCTGTGAGAAACCGAAAAATAACTGGCATCCATTTCTAAACGTTCAAATTAATCTATCCAAAAACGGCTACATTACAAAATAGTATCGAAAACCAAGGAGTAAGAATATAGTGGTTCATTACCTCTTCTCTCATCCCACACACTAAAAGCGCGCTTATAAGAAATACATTTCGAACCGCTGCCAGAGTGTGCACAGGTACAGATCAGAGGGAAGAATCCTCGAAACTGGTGCGCCAAATAGCCATTTCAAATAGTTACGAAGCTGCAGCTTCTTGTCACAGGAATAGAGGAAACTCCACGCCCCAGAGCGATAATTCTAGCGAAAATAAGGCTCCGTTCCTCTTGCCCTTTATTTCAAATGAAATAAGTGCAGCCATAAAACGTTGCTTAATAAGGGCCGGTCTAAAGAATTCGGTAAGAGTGATAGATATACTATCGAACACTCTAAGACGCCGGTTAGTATGTAACTACGCATACACAAAAGAAAACTGCATGACATGCCCTAACTGCAAGGAAGGCGATTGTATGGGTTGAGGTACGGTGTATCTAATCTCTTGTAAAGCGTTCGCGTGCGAATTCGTTGGCGATCTGTATCCGTATAAAAGAATAGCCAGTAACTCAATTAAAAGTGATCAAGTTTGCCATTAGGTGCTTTTAGGACACAGAGACATTGGGGAGCTCTCGAAGTAACAGTCACTATCTTTGCACAGAATTCCACAACATCAGCACCAAATCTCCTGAAGCATTTTAGACGAATTTTAAAAATCCAAATATCAGCCGCAAAGAGGAGTGCCTTGTGACAATGCGTGACCTCGCGCCACTCCTCAGGTTGATCTATTGACCCGGGCCAGGCACATTCTTCGCCCATGTGAGACTTTGGCTAACGTTTCGACGTTATTACTATTATTTGATTATTTATTTCGCTGACTGTTTTACCACCGAGATTCAATGAGGGCCGGTTTGGAAATTAATATTATTGCTTGCCCTCCTTATGGCTCGTCTTTAAACTCACATCTACAAAGCCTGGCAGTTTCTTTCTGTCACGCCAAATCGATTGTTGCCTATCACTAGGAGGGTTCCCAGTGTTTTGAATCCCGATCAACTTTCTTAAATCCCGATTGTACAAACAGGAAAGACAAAATGCAGATAAGAGTGACATTGAACTTTCACACTTGTAACTAAGCTCAACTTTTCTGTGTCAAGAAGACAGTTGGTAGAAAGCGATAGCCAAAACGAGTTCATTGATGGCTTTATAATGACATGAATATTATCAATTTGAGAGGTTTACCGCTTAAACAGTTGGAGAACATTCTGCTGTGGTATACCACTACAATGAGGTTCCTTGTCGTATGTCTCGCTCTGTGAATCTCATGCTTTAGAACCTAAACCTTTTATCTGGATAGCAATATGACTGTACAGTAGCACCATCATAAGAATAATGGCAAATCCACGAAAAAATAGAGCCAATAATAAAGTGGGTAAATTTAATAAGCGAAAAGCTTTGCTATAAATAATATTAAATAGAAAGGCATTCTGTTCTAAGTGTTATGAAGTTCCGTTGCCTTTAAGGAATTCAAAGAAAATGTCGCCGACTTCCAGAATTACATTTTTCATTGCCATTTATTTTCATACCTTTCAAATTTCTAAGACAATTTGACGTAAAAACTTCACTAAGTTACGTGGACTACGTTGAAGTACCATGATTAAACCACTCTTCAATGGCTTGCATAAACGTTTCCGCGCAAGATAATCGGTCGCTTTCAATGGAGAAAACACCCCTCCAGGTGAACATATTGCCCCTGTAATACAACCACAACGTCGCTGAGATATTTGCAAAACTCCGGACTGCAGGTGTCTATGGTGGGGAACGAACGCGCTATTGTCCTTTCCGGGGAGTAACGCGTTCACCACCACACCACGCGGGTCCTTTGTTTCGCCTGTCTCTCAGCTATTTCTATCGATCTTTTTGCCACAGCAATCACCCGTCAGCGGGATTGATCTGGGGCGACCAAATCGGCATGGAACCCAGTTAAGCTGCGGCTGTAGTTTATAGCTGAGAGACGGGCGAAACGAAGGGCCCACATGGTATGGTGGTGAATGCGTTACTCCCTGGAAAGGACAATAGCGCGTTCGTTTCCCACCATAGACATCTGCGGTCCAGAGTTTTGCAAATATCTCAGCAACGTTGTGGCTGTATTTCGCTTAGTAACCTGCCGCGAAATTATAGTAGGCAGAAAACAAAAAGGTATAACATTGTGTTCCTGTAATAGTTTCCAGGATCGACTTTCTATTAACCTCGGCATTAGAATATGAATGCGTCGTTCTCTTGTTCAACAATCGCAAGGTTTTTAAGCAGCATACATTTACTTCCACAGAGAAACACATTACAATACAACGTTAGCTGACGTTTCGGCAGTAACGCCTTCTTCAGAACCTGGAAGGGTATACTGATATACAATCTACTAGGCCAAACGCTTCAATAACACTTACAAAAAGACGAAAAACTTGGTAATTACATGATCAACAGCTTCTCGAAAAACCCACCGCTTTTTCGTGACTTCCAATGAGGAAGTTTAGAACAGCTGATTATAGTCGCATATGGTTGACAACTGCACCATCCTACATCAAAAATTGGAAGTCACGTAAAAAAGCGGTGAGATTTTCAAGAAGTTGTTGATTATGTAATTACCGGAGAGTTTTTCGTCTTTTTGTAAGTGTCATTGAAGCGTTTGGCCTAGTAGATTGTATACTAGCATACCCTTCCAGGCTCTGAAGAAGGCGATACTGCCGAAACGTCAGCTAGCGTTGTATTGTATTGTTTTTTTCTATGGAAGTAAATGTATGCTGTTTAAAAACCTTGCGATTGTTGAACAAGGAAACGACGCATTCATATTGTCTCTGTGCCAATGGCTAAATGATGATAACATTAATGATGTTGAGAGTTTTGCAAAACTTCGCACCGCAGGTGTCTGCACTGGGAACGAACGTGCTATCACCCTTTCCGAGGGCTAACGCGTTCACTAACACACCATGCGGCTCTTTCGTTTCGCTTGTCTCTCAGCTAGTTTTCTATTTTCTACTTACCATTAACGCGTTAGTCCTCGAAAGGGGTAACAGCGCGTTCGTTATTGTTAAAATACCGTATGTAATGGCATGTAGTAGCATGCTATTGTACTGTTACTGTAATTAAATTCTTTGACCACCTGCGCTAAACCCCTAAGATAACCTGAAGTAAAAAATTCAGCAAGTTACATGGCTAATGTTAAGGCACCGTGGTTGGGCCCCGCTACAGCAGCGCGCTTCAAAGTTTTTACGCAATGGAATTAACGCACCTTTGCAAACCATGAAAGTTTCTTTATGTGGCACCAAGTGAAGTGTTATCTTTCACTAAGAGGGTTATATGATGTTTTATGTCCTGACTGAGGGTCTCCATTCCTGATTGTGCAAGCACGGCAAGTAGGTTAGAGCTGACAATGATAATAATTTTTTATAACTGTAGTCGTCGTAACACTAGAAAAAGTGCACAAAGAAATTGTAGCTGGCAATGCTGCAAGTAGAGTTAGTAATGAAGAAGTTCTGTCATAAACAATATTATGCAGACAAACCTTCTGTACTAAGCGTTTGTGAAGTTCTGTTGTTTCTAAAGACTCGGAAAGACGAAGAAAATAGCTGTTACTCTAAATTACATTTTCACGACTATTACCATCATTTATTCTCACACTTTATAAACTCCTAAGACAATCTGAAGTGGAAAATTCAGCATGTTGCGTGGCGTGGCCAGTGTTGGTACTGCGGTGTTAAGGTCCTCTACAATAGCGTGCTTTAAAGCTTTTACGCAATGGAATAGACCTATTTCGATGGAAAAAGAACACACTTCAAGGTGTACTTATTGTCATTGTGCCAATCGCTAGCTGGTGATAACACGGTTTTGCTTTGGAGCAGTTTCTGTATCATTGTAGGCCTATCAACTGCGGACTTCGCTTGTCATAAAACACTTTCCTTCCACTTTTTGAAGTTCTGTAAATATTTGAGAGAAGACCACCTGCTTAAGTATTAGTATGATGCTGTTTCAGTTTGTTGTAAACGAGTTTTAAATTTTTGCGTCCGTGTTTTCCTGTTGCAAATAAAATCCATAGAGATGGTCGCGGTGATGTTAATGTCCTCTTCTAGGTCTTAAAGGTCTGTCTTCTTCGTATCCCATTGATTGTGGAATACAAGTGAAGTGTAGTTTTTTCAGAAGTCTTTAGATAATTAGGCCAGGAAACTGTTTTTACTACGTGGATCGAGCGAAATTGTAATAATTTGATGGTGATTTCTGTAGCAGAAAAGAATACGAGGATCAGTCGATGATCCATCGAGAGCACACGGGCTAAATCCGTCGACGAACAACTGTGTGTGAAACACAAATGTTTCAACTATTAACGATGCCTTTTTCTAAAAAAATATTGCAACGATATTGTTTTAGGTGTGTATAAATGAGTGGTTATCACGATTCACTTAGCACATTCCGACGAGCATTTATTACGTGCTTTACGGAAAATCGTGGTAACGGTGTTCTGTTCGTAGTTGGATCATTAATTTAATATTCAAGTCATTTACGTTGAAAATCGCCGTTAGCTATAAAAGGTCATAATCCTCAGTTTTCAAAAACCTTGATTTAGAGTCGTGGTCTCCACAACTATACACTGTTCCACAGGTGAAGAGGAAAAACTTAATGACACTAACCAATGGGGTTGGTCAAAACGTCTCTGAACGCATAATAACTGTGAACTTGATTCGTAGAATTTCCTGCTCATTAATGAGAGTAGTCAAAGCTTCATTTCTTCTAGAGAAACATGTGTTGGACCATCTTTTTACAGAAATATTGCTTCGCAAACACGGTAACAATAGTTGGAAAGCGATTATGTTGACACGTGTAGCACATAATGCTTCCAGGCTACGCTATCTGGATAACAATATCTGAAAAGTAAACCTTCCAAACTAAGATCTATCCAGTCGATTGATTCGTTATAACAGTATTGTCATGTGACCATATCTTTCGTGTCTTGAAATGTGCATGCACTTCACAGGATGAATATCTACACACCTGCTGATGGACTTTTCCAAACACACGTCACCTGGGAGGATATTGAAGCAGATATGCAAAGGGAATTTCACAGCACCGCCTCGTTCGGACCGAATAAATCTGCGAAAAACATCAGTGATTGTAATGTGAGCAAATTTTAACGTTACGCACTTATTTTCTGCTTACTACTGTTTTACGGGCGGGTATTAAGCGAAATACAACCACAACGTTGCTGAGACATTTGCAAAACTCCGGACCGCAGGTGTCTGCTGTGGGGAACGAACGCGCTACTGTCCTGTCCGGGTAGTAACGCGTTCACCACCACACCATGCTGGTCCTTCGTTTCGTCTATCTCTCAGTTAATTCTATCGATCAGTGCTATCAGCAATCACCCGTAAACATGATTTAAGATAAAAACGACGTACACAACATTTAACAAGGATTTATAGCACCTTGTTAGATTGATAAGGTGACACGAAGTTATTACTAAATATTCGTTCGGATAACGTTTTGATGTCTTCGTCTTTCTTGGAACCGATTAACCGAGTACGATCCCCTCAGTGCTTCGCACTCTTGATGTGGTGTCTTCATTGTCGTATCGAGTTGGATCTTCTTCAGTGGAGCATGGCTGGAATGAGGTAACGTCACAAGGCGGTGCTCTTTTATACAGGACTGTTTTTGTTAAAATGATTCAACGAAAAGCATTTATTGTCTGGACCATTAAAAACTATTACGCCTTTGTTAGGCAACGAAAAATATTGGAAGTGTAACCGATAGACTAACTGGGTGGTGGGTAGAGTTTACAACTGATGTGCGAAAATAAGAGTGGCGTTGCGTCCAGGAAGAGGCAGGTTCACTGGACAACACTCGAAGACGCAACCATGCCCGAGACCGGTCGCCTCTCTGGATGAAAATTGCTAGTGCACTATAATAGTGTATATTCACACTTGCTTCTGCCTTCACAAATGCATTTCTTATGATTTTAACGAGTTTTTCGGTCACTTTTCACAAAATTGCCATAATCAGTGCAACGTTTGCGAGATCGTTTCACCAGTTATCAATTTGTACGTCACCACCTGTTCTACAGTAGAGCGACTCAGGGCATTTCAACAAAGCTTCCATCCGTTTTTGTCGCGTGTCAAGCTTGATCAGCAAATTCTGCTTTTTTTGGCAGGCACAGAAATCTTTGATATCAGCTTGCTTATTTCTAGTTTATACGACTGATGCATGGCCATGTGTAGTTCTTCGGCCTTCAGGGTATAGGCATGGTGCACTAATGGATAGCTTATCACTGTCCTCCGAATTGTATACACTACTGGTAAGCTTTCCACCAAACTGATGAAGATCAGGATTTCACATTCCTCTGAAGACAACTACATAGACTTATTGACTAGAGTTTAGACAACATATCCGCTACCAGGAAGTGCGCCGCATAGATTCGCCACTAACTGGCTCCGTATTCCATTATCCACAACTATATTTTACTGAGATACGAATGAATATTAGAAAATCTTAAACATAAATCAGTAGAAGAACGAAAACTTAGACAGCACTGTGTGCATTGACAAGGAATTTGCCAAATTTGAGAAATTTCCTTATGTTCCGCACGTCTTTAATTACCTACCTACACCAGATAACGGATGAAGGTATCCATGGAAACGTTGAACTATCATTATTCGATCTGAACGGCTAAGAAGAGCATGTGCAGTGAGAAGAGATTCAATTCTGGAATCACATAAGGATCCAATTTTGTCCCAGCAGTTAATGAAATAAAAGGGAAAGCTGCTGTAGCTGGAATAATCTAGCTATTTCCAGGGCTTCATGTCGATAATCGCACTCATTGATCCTGACTGGCAACATAAAGACAAAGAACTTCCGGAAAAATTCGTAGTGAAGGTAGTTAGAGAGCCTAATCTGTTAATTTTTAACAAAGTCTCTATAACTGCGATAGATCCTGGATTTTCGTTCTTGGGAAAAAATCAAATGAATTTCTTATGGATTATGGTGGGAACGTCAGTGAAACCACTGATTGCTTTATAAGCAATGAGATAAAAACGTTGAAAATTACAATCTTCCAGTGATTGTCGACCTGATCGTGCTCACTTTGTGTTAGTTGTTAATATCTCAAACTTCCTCTCCTGTAATTTATCCCACGCCATAATTGTTAAATGAGAAAATTAATTCCAGTTTAAAGTCAACAGACTGCACGACTAAGCGAATATTTGAAACGATTAAATTACCAGGGTTAAAATTAGTTAAGCGCTTTAAGTATATCACTTATAATCTCGTTAACCATCGAGAGACTGGAACACGCACACCAACGAACTAAGTTTGTCTCCATCGTTCACAAGAAATAACACAAGCACCATTGCCTTAATATGGCACCATTTACTGCTTTTTTGTTGAAGAAATCCATATAACTCGCCAGGTTTTTCCGTCACCTAAGATGTGAATCCTGAATTAACCGAACTTTTTCATAGTTGACTAACTCTGCTAGCGAATGAATACCAGATTTATATCGCATCGGTACCAATTCAAGACATATTGGGTGTATCTTGGGATATTTTGTGTCAAAATTCCACACGGTAACTAAGCTTTACAATAGCGATTGAGATTGCAATAACAATTATTTGCTTATTAAATTATGGGCCAATGAAGTGGTTCCAAGAAGGACTTTGCAATATTTTCAAGGGTAAAAGAGGACCTTTCCCTGGCAACGTCCAGCACAACAGCCGTGTTCGAAAAGCTAAAGATTGACTGCAAGAATTGGCAAAAAGCTCTGTTCGAAAAAATTAGTCAGGAAAAAGTTTTGATTGAAAATTGAAATCAATACGTACGGTCCGTAGCGCCCCACAGCGTGCATTTCGTAATCAATGTGCACGGTCAACAAATACGGTTGATAAGCCAGCCTCTATTTTGCGATGAGCTAGTAGGGGCAGTAAAAAAAATTCCACTATTCGCAGCAGAAGTAGAAATAACGCTGAAACTTACCTAAGTCAAAGATTAAAGAAGGAAAATGAGGAAGTCATACAGTAACAGGAAATAAAACAAAGAGAAATTCATTATATACAATGCTCGTAATTTTACGAACACAACTGAGATCACACACCTTAATCAAATAAATCTATCAGACGAATATCTTCGAAATGTCCCCAGTTTCGGGATTTTCTATAACCCTCAGTTCTATTTCTTCTTCTAAATGTTTAGATTCTTACTCAACTTGTTATGCAACAATTCACTAACGAAATATCGAAAGTGAAGAAGATCGACAACATGTTTAACGTTCCGGAGTTGTTGACCACACTTGAATGCCACATGAAACGTGTGAGTATAAAAGAATGAGATCACTTGAAATCATATCGTTTCCTTTTTGAACATTTCTTAGTCTATTTAGTGTCATAACACGGAAGTAACTGCCTACAATCATTTGCTCAATTTACCAGAAGGAAAAGTTTCTTTACCTAAGGTTTGCTGCCCACTTTTTTAAGAAGTTTAAAAATTTTGTGCAGTATAACGTGGTGAAGGGCGCGTGTGGCGTGTGTGGCCCTGCGACACACACATGGTGTCGATCCCACCGCCCGTGGCTCACCGAGCTTTCCATCCCTCCAGCGTCGGTAAATTGTTACCAGACTTGTCTGGAAGGATAGCAGCACTAGCTCGACATCATCGGGCCACCTCGAGTCATTGTGATGGTCAGATATGCATTCATTCACCTCCAACGATACTTAATGAAGTCGAATGGATGGCGCAGGGATTGATCAACGCGGAAAGAGAGAGCTTTATAATGTGTTGTTTGTTCCACCACGTTTATTAACGTTTTTCGTTCTCATTTTAATCTAGGTTTTTTTCTATCGTATTTTTTTGCATAAATCATAGCCAATGTTAGGTGATTTATTAGTAATCAAGCTTCTTTATCTCCTGCATTGGTGTGAAAATTGCAACAGTTTATTATCTTTCAGATTTTTTTCATGAAAAAATTCTCTGAAAACAACCCTGTCAAGGGATATATCATTATGGAGTATATGGAAAATCTAAAAATGGTGCACATTTATGAAAATCTCACGACGAAATCTGTGAAACAGGTTGTTGTAGCCATTCTTCTCCAAAGCATCCGGGTACTGTTCTTCGCTTCACACTTCGACGTTCAGATTTTACGAGCGAAAGCTGTTCTCGAAGCGATGTCTCTCGATTTCACTCCTGAAGAAAGAAGCGAATTCAGCGAGAAACCGTTCACCGAAATTTTCGGAGCTTTTTTCAAAGTGGAGGTTGTAATTGTTACTGCCTATCAGCGTTATATTTTTCATGAAGTACTCTACTATTTTCTATAAGCAATGAACATCTGTGCAGTTACTCGACAGTTTGATGGAGATTTTTCGCTCATTCGGACATGATAGTCTGTCAGAAAAAACTAGTCGGCTAGGGAAAGTTCTACCGTACTTGGTGGATCTCGAATGGGCGAATAGATTATCCGATGAGATGGGTGAGTGAAACGCCATTAATGTAGCTAAAATCGCCTGAATGGAATTATTTTATTTAGTGGAAGGTTATTCTGCTTAAGAAAATGCGCATTTCTGGTGGTGAGATAAGAGAAACAGCTCTATGAAGCTAGATTTGTTACGGCATTTCAGGTATGCGACGTGTCCTCTGTCATGGTGACTTGTGGTCAATGAACGTTCTGTGGAGGACAGATGGCGATGACCTGAAAATGGCAGCTCTCATTGACTTTCAGGTAACAACTTGACCTTTATGGTAATGTCAAGTGAATAAAACTAATTTAAATTTAGAATAACGTGAGTTAGAAGGCGGTTAGCAAGCTCCAAACGATTTGAAAGTTACGTCACACTTGACGAAGTAGCAGATGACCCGGGTTGAATATTCCAGCACCCTGTTGCACATATAATTGCCTTCTTTATAGGTTAACTTTGAAATATTATAATTCAGTTCAAAAGCAGCTTCGTTAATCCAAGCAACAGCTGTTGAAATCAAAACGTTTTCTTCCCAACACATTACAAGCTTGTTTCTTTATTTTAGGAACGGGGTACAAATTTCTAAAAAATAGGGTTTCTCATAACGTAAATTTTCATTGGCCCAACTCTTCAAAGATTTTTCTGCATAGCAATTGTCCAGACTCCCACATAAGTAGTTACCGAAAAGTGCAGTTGAGGACGGTGGGTGAGACATGAATTCGTTGCTCAACTTAACCAACGTGTTTGATGTACCATATGTGTTCGAGAGTAGTCGTGTTAAAAGAGTGAACTCTTTCTGTAAGGCGTTTCTGTATGCACATTCTACAGCTTACTAAGGCTTCCTTCGTTTGGTGGAAGGCACTTCTCTGTTACTGTTGTATTGCTAACGTTCAAAGGGCTCTATTGGATGATTTCATCTGCAGAACATGAATATGACATCGCGACGCGATTTGAATCCACTTCATATTTTGTAAGATTCTTAGACTTCCATTACATCCAAGCCACTATGTGACCATGGTCTGTTGTCAGGTGTCGGATATGATTTACTTTCCTCTTTCGCCACAACTTTTTCACGTAACCCACCTTCGTTGTGTGGGTACTGGCATCTATTCCGTTCGTTTCGTTTTTCCGCCTTTGTTACCCATAAAGGTCTTCGGATTCGAATTTTCTTTTCGATGGTGAGGATATTTGGTCTTCTTTATGAATGTCATAAATTCTAGTAGAATCGATTGTTATCTTCCAACGATAATCTTCTGATAGTCACGTTGTGGCGTTCTTGGGTCTCGTGATCCGCATGGAGCTTCCAGGCAGGCTTAAAACCGGTTTTCCGATTCCGGGAGCACGAAGGACTCCGTTGGTCTCGCGCTGGATGGATACGGCGCCTCTTGTTTGTTGTGCGTCATCACAACCACTGCGCCACTTCCGTGGTATTCCTCGCAACACGATCGAGAAATGAATAGTTTTCGTGAAATAAAAAAAAACTCAGAACAGATTTTCTAACGGCTATCTCGTTGTCATCCGCTTAATTCTGCTGATACCCATTTATCGAGAGTTCAACGTTCACCGCGTTTCCTGAATTACGAACTGCTGTCGAATCATCAACGTTGACTTTTTCCACAACACTCATTTACATTTTCCAGGAGCAGTTTCTATTACCACACTGAAATGCTGGTGCAGGAACTCCGCCTTCACACTCATTAAGATTCGTGTTTCCACTGTAAAACCTCTCCAGCTATCTGCGCATTGGGATGTTCAGATGCCTTTTCTCAGTTCATTCTTTCATAGTATTTCACGTTTCTAGCGTTACTTTAAGTCGAGATTTGATGTGTTAAAGCAAGCCAACGAGAATACTTTCTAGACAAGTCTGGTACAATTTCTACGACCTCAGAAGAAAGGTGAGCACAGTGGATCGAGGACGGATTGGAACCAGTGCTGCACGTCCCCATTTTTTTTTTACTGTGTATCTATTGAAAATGTTCTTATTAACAAATCCTATAACCACAAAAACGCTTATTGTTCCTGCACCACCCTAAGCCCTCTACTTTTTTTTCACTAAATCCTCGTCCAGGTTGCTCACTTTGGATGTCCAGCAGTTGACTTCGTCCGGCTAATGTCAGCATGTCTCAGCGGTAAGGATCGGCAAGAACACTGGGAAGAATTATTGGAGGAGTACTACGGATACTTGAAAGAGGAATGTGGTAGCAGACGGATGCCCTACACGTTAGAGCAGGTTTGCTTTTACAGTATTCGGATGAGCAGTAGAATGTTCAAATCTTCTTTTCCAGTGAAGGCCCAAATCAACTCAAATAAAACACCAACCTTATTAAGTTATTAACCTTAAGTTCTTATTTCTTGTCCGACGTGTAGCTTAGAAATGATATTTTCAGCTCAAGGAATCGTACCGTCGATTCTTTCCTCTTGGGGCCTTCATGATAATGCCTATTATTGGTCCCTTATTCGATATCATTTGTAAAAAACACGATGAAGATCAGAAACGGAAGGTTATTTTAAAGGTTACAAACCCAAGTCGTAAACTAAAGAAATACGTTTATGAAATCCTTACAGAGTTTGGAACTCGTAATGAAGAAGACTGAGCATCTTTTGGATGATCTGCTGTACTACCATGAGCGCAACATGGAACTGAAAAAAGGATGACGAGCCAACGAAGATCAAAATAAAAATGTTTTAAAAGCTAAGATTTTCTTCGCTCAAAGAAAAGGTATGACGTCTCAGCTCGTGATAGGGCACGTGTTCCATGTGATTATCTACATACATTTTTCCCCATATCGCAGTATTAGAAGAGAGTTTCCGCTATGAAAGTCGTATATCTTTTTATTTCTTGTTGGATCTTCGTGAAAAACTTGAATAAAAGTTTTGTGGCGCAAAGAGCGGCAGAAGAATTGAACAACAAGTTTCTGTGTTGAATACGTTCTATTCACCAACATGGTTTTCATTCATTTGGAACTTCCAATTTTAACAGGCAACTTGTGAAAATTTTATTTCGTGAAGGACTAGAGATATGTTTTTCAGCTTTTGGATCTAATCCGAGACCTCTGGACATCGTACTGCCAAGTTTTTCACGAAAGAGGTGATGATTTGGATTTCAGAAGGAAGAATCGCTTGGTCGTTCCAGCTTCCCCTTCGTCCCTCCAGCTTCCCCTCCGTTAACTGAAAACTGACTTTCTCTGCAGGTCGATCTAAAGAACTTTCAAACTCTGGGCTTAGTAAGCATTATTGGGAAGTAGTCTAAAAAGTGATTTGCGTTCCTTTAGTCAATGAAGGTATTTTTCTTAATGTCTTTTAACGGTATGGCGAAAACTCAATTTGTGATGCTTTGGTTTTTGTTCTTTAAATTTCGTACTCACCTTTCCTTTGTGAAAAAACTTTTCGTGAAGAAAGCGCAGCTTCAACGCCTTCCTGACTTTAACTATTTATTAATAGCATAAGATTTATCACATTTTCTAATATTTATGTTACATGACCCGCCACCAAGTCTACTGCGCGGATCCCAGCACTTCTCACATTCGATTCGTTTCCTCGCATCCATCATCCACGAAGGTCTTCCAACTTTTATGTATGGCTTCGGCTGGTGTTTTAGGATTTCCACTTCAACTTGAATGTCATAGAATGGTTGTAGAGTCGGGTCTCGCTGAACTCCTGGGGTAGCCGGGCAAGAGGTTTCCCACATGGATTACGGAGAGATTTTTTCTCGGACAAGTTTAACACCAATTGTCCGAACCTGGAAGGAAGATAGGCTTGGTGAGCTTGAGAGAGGATGGAACCACCACCGGCATCACTAACACTGTGCTACTCGCCCCTAAGATTATTTATAACGAGGTCTCTGTTTTCGTTCCACCGAAGGTGCCTAGATTTCGGTGAGTCTCGTAAAAGAATGATGATTTGTCGTGAATCTTTTTATAGGTCATCACGAAATAAATACAACCTCTCATCTTTTTCGTTTCATTGCAATCCTTCGGGCACATCGTGAAATTATCCAAACTCTCTATTACAAAGAATTGTTTCCTCAAGATTTCTTTAGAAGCATGCCTTTTTCGTCCTATGTTTTTCGATAATCTTTGTTATCCTTCTAGAAATATATACTCTATGTCATAGTGGCTTTTGGAAATGCAAACTATTTTGTTTGATAACAAGAAATCAAGGTAAAGCCGGAAGTTAGAACAGAGCTCCCGAGACCAACGAAGACTAGTGACAGACAACAACCGAGGAGACTCTCACGTCCATCGTTTTGGAATTGTGGGTTACCACGAAACGGTCTTTGTCATAATGGAAAACGGTACACCTCTATCCTTCGTTTCTTCCCATTCCATGGATCATGGCGTGGGAGTCTGCAGAATATCCCCAGAATCCAATCTCAGCGTTGAACTTGTCAGTTGATGACCGTATAAAAGTTATGCCTTCCTTTGTAAGATTTGACGACCAAGGAGAAAACATCACCGTCGTTTTCGAAAACGAATGATTGATTCAGGTCGTCATTTTTTCGGAAAAACGGATTTTAACTTTGTTTTTTGGCTAAATTCGTTTTGGGTACTGACACATGCGCTTCCTCTATCTCTCGTTTTAGGACGAAGTTCTTCTGACGTTTGATATGCATGTCATGTTTGGCAATAACTATTGTCTGTCTGTCTAACTGTCTTGTTTGGCAATTTGATGTGCAATAACTCTATCTTCATCTATCTATATTGCAGTAAACTGTCGAAATGTCATCACCATAGTCTTTTCAATTTAGGTGCCTCGAAGATTTTAACAAACAATCCATGGTCGCTGTTCCTATTGCTTCTCTATCCAAAAGGGCTGTCTTGTTAATCGAAGTATGACAAGAATTTTGCTATATTTAGCATCGAATGCCAAGAGGCAACCTTTCTAAGCTTGTTTCGATTAAATGTAGCAAAAATTTTCTGGAAACGCTTCGGACCGTCTCCCATAAAATTTAACCATCTAAATACAGGCTGCTGGTCGAACTGACAATAATACGTATGCATTCAAACAAGTGCACGTCTGCTCGGGAGGATATGTCTACTACGTACGCAGAAAAAATAAGTGCTGTCCAACCCGTGAATGCGAATGCGGCATTGATTTGAGTATCATGTCGCTTATTGTCCCGTGTTCAACCATAGTTTGTTATCAGTGACGCGCCACAAATCCTTGCAATTGAGCGTCTAGTGATCATTCCTCGAGGTGGATTTATACAATAAAATTAATTAATCTGAATTCTTGTCACCTGTATCACCTGTAGTTCCGTTGATCGTTGAGTGACTCGAGCGGGCGCCAGTAAATTTTCCATTTTTCCTTGTGGCCTGCAACAATGGCCCAGTGGGTTCTGCTCACTCTAGAGATTCGCGGAGCATCACACCTTTCGAGGCTTTTCGTGAAGAATCTGACCATCGGGTCGGTGGCCTTCTTGCAGTACGTTTGTCATCTCAAGAAAACCATTCGCTAACGGCTCTTTTCGATTGGGTTGCAGTTGTCGTTCATACGCACTACTTGTACGGTTCACTTTATCTCTGAGAGCTTGACGTATAGAACAGCATTTTTGATTTTTGATTGTTGCTGCTGGTCCGAGCTTCGAATCCCTTTCCTAGTCTCATAAGTCAAAGTGTAATACAATTACTAGTACACGATAATATTGTATATTGACACTTGCTACTACATGTATGAAAATATTCTTCATTGATCTTGAAGAATTTCTCCTAGGTTTTTCGCACAATGACCAAACGAAATACAGCGTTTGCGAGATTGCTTCAAACGTTACCAACTAGTTTGTAACCATCTGCTGAACAATAGACCGGCTCAAGACGGTTTAGCAAAGTTTCCGTCTGTTTATGTCGCGCACCAAACCTGATCTGTAAATTGTGCCTTCTCGGCAGGCACCAAAAATTTTCCGGTGTTGTTTGTTCCTAGTTTTTAGTAGTGATGCTTAGCTGTGGCTAGTTCATCGACCTTCCTGGTAAGCGCACGGTGCTTTAATAGATACCTTGTCACTCTCTTCAGGATTGTATGCGTTGCTAGTGAGCTTTTAACCGAACTGACAAAGATAAGGATCTGATCCTATTTCTCTGAAAGCAACTAAGTACTCTTATTGACATCAGTTTAGACAACATATCTGCCACCAGATAGCACACCGCATAGCTTCCCAGCTGTATGGCTGCGGATTCCATGAGTTACGTTTGTAGTTGGCCACAGCAGGAGCACTAGAAAATCGCATCGTAATAGCAAAGCAATATAAACATAAAATCTAATATACTACTGTGTACGTTCAAGAATAAATTTGAAAAGTTTTTACATGCAACCCACGTCTTTTCTTACTTACTTTCACACCACAAGGCGGATGAAAATATTCATGGAAGCGTTAACAACCATTATTCGATCTGAACGGCTTAGAGTAGGATATACGGCGGTGTGGCGACACTCAATTCTGGAACAAGATATGGATCCATTTTGGCCTCACAGTCGGCAAAATGAAAACGCAAAAATTGCTGTGGCCGAAATAATCCCTCCATTTCCAGAGATTCTTGTCGATTGTAGCGCTCACTAACCCCGATTCGCAGCCTGGAATTCGGAATCTACCGACTTCGTCCGTAGTTAACTGACCTTGCCAACGAATGGATTCCAAGAGTACACTGCATTCGGTACACATTAAGGATATGCAGAGTGCAATTTGCTTTTTTATACCCATATTTCATATGATAACTAGGATTCATATTAGCGAATGGAATTGAAATAAGAACCATTTACCTAGCCTATCAAGTTCCCTACCAATGAAGTAGCTCGAAAAGAAAAACTTTTCACTATTTTCAAAAAGAGCTCTTAGAGGGAAAAAGAGAGGCACGTGTGGCGCCGCCACAGCGACACTCACTTGAAATCGATCCCCGCGCCCATGGCCCACGAAGCCTTCCATCCCTCCAGGGTCGGCAAATTGGTATCAGATTTGGCTGGGAGGATAGCAGCACCGGCTCGATACATCGGCAGGCCACGCCGAGTTATTATAAAGGCCAGATATGCATTCAATTACCTCCAACGATACTTAGTGAAGTCGAGTGCATGGCGCATCCCCAGTGATTGATGAACGCCGAGAGCTTTATCCTTTTTTTTATCCTTGAAAACAGAGCTTTTACCCAGCGACGCCCAACACAACAACCGTCCGATAAGTTGTCAACAGATTAGAAAAGGTAAAAAAAAGCACTGCACGGCGAAATAAACCAGCAAAAAGTGTGTACATCGAAATCGAAATACACGGCTCGTAGCTTGCGGTAACGTATTTATGGAAATCAATTCGCATTGCCACGAAAGCGTAAATATCTCCATCTTCCATGAAACGATGAACTAACGAGAGCAGTAAAAGGGTCGTATCATTAGCCACAATTGGAATAAATCGCAAAAGTGGGAAATAAAGGAAGGTGATTACGAAAGTAATACGGCAACGGAAAATAAAAAGAAATCTGAGAAACAACGCTAAATTCAATATACAGAATGCCTAACCACGCAACAGTTTACCACCTCATCATGGCTAGGAGGTGTTCCTGGGTGTCGGGCTGCGATGTACAGTGAGGGATTCGTCCCTCTTATAAGAGTGTCCCGAGCTGAGAAGGAGTCCGACGTTCCCTTCAGGAAGTCTAGCCAAGACAAATCAATATCTG